TTGTTTCTCTCAATGCTATCGATATGACTTCAAACTAAAATGTATTGTTTCTATACATGTTTTTCTAGTTGAATTGATCGAGTTTTCCAATTGTCTCTAAAGTCTAAATATTTATATTACACTTCATTGTGTCACTCTAATTCCATGTTGCTGATCCAGAAAGAAACACCAAAAATGTTTTAAGATTTTGTCTTAACCATGGAGGCAACCATTGAGGATTAGCTCTGATAGTATGGTGCCAATGCGGAAGAAATTGATAGTGCTATCCATGTAATGAGTTCTTCAGAATTGGTTAGTTTTTTTGTTCGTGTTGAAGTTTGACTAATATTTTTTGTTCATGTTGAAGTCTAATCAATCATTTGAATGACAACAGACACCTATAAAAAGTCCACATGCACCAGTGGAATAACATGTAAAAGGGAGCAATAAGGAGGTTAGTGTTATAAACACTCGTAGTGAGGAAGATGAAAGTAGAAGAATGGGAAGCTTGAATGCAAATGAAGAAAATATTGGTTGTGAACCATCTGTGGTTATGGAATTTTCATATAAGGAAGAAGCAAAATTATTATATAATGAATATGCAAGGCGAATGGGATTTAGCATGTGCATGGGAAATACAAAAAAAAACACAACATGACGGGGTTGTGTGCTCTCGTAGATTTCTATGTTCAAGATTATGATTTCCTTCAAGGAAAGTTGATATTGAAAAACCTACTCAAAAGGTACCAGACACAAGAGTTGGTTGCAAAGCAATGATGAAAATATGTAAAAAAAATATTGATAAGTGGATTGTTACACGGTTTGAGAGAGACCACAATCATGAATTTGTGAGCCCAAGCAAGGTGCGTTGTCTCTGATCGCATTGGGCTATTTCTGAATGTAAGAGAAGTATTATCGATACTGTTCATAAAGCCAGGATTCTTACTAATAAGATTATGAATGTCTTTGGAGTAGAATATGGTGGAGACTGTAATTTAGGTCTAATGGATCGTGATTGTAAAAATGAGCTTCGAAAGTTTAAAAAGAAAAGCCTTGACGATGATGCTCAATTGCTCTTAAATTATTTAAATGCATGCAAAGTGAAAATCCTTCTTTCTTTTATGCAATTGATGCTGATGATGCCCATTTACCAAATATTTTTTAGGTTGATGCGAGGTCAAGAAATGCATATCAATGTTTTGGGGATGTGGTAATTTTGGATACAACCTATAAGACTAATAGGTTTAAAATGCCTTTTACCCCTTTTATTGGAATCAACCACCGTACAAATTCTACCTTATTTGGGTGTACACTTTTAGGAGATGAAACTAAATCATCATTTGTTTGGCTATTTGAGATATGGCTTTCGCAAGCAAACATCCAATTACAATAATTACCACCAAGACAAGGCCGTGCAAGGAGCTATTGCTCGTGTATTCCCGAACACTGTCCACAGATTTTGCAAATGGCATAATTTAAAAAAGGTCAATGAGAAGTTGGGTAGCATTTGTGTAAAATATCCTACTTTTGTAAAGGAGTTCCTCAATTGTATTAATTGGACCAAAACAATTGAAGAGTTCGAGAGTTCATGGGGATTGATTATTGATAAGTATGAGCTAAAGGAAATAATTGGTTAGTATCATTATATGATATTCAACATCAATGGATACCAGTCTACTTGTGCGGTACATTCTCTGCAAATTGCTCTACTACCCAGCGAAGTGAAAGTATGAACCATTTTTTTCATAGGTTTTTTAACTCTCAAAGTACCCTGTAAGAATTTGTTCTTAAATATGAAGAGGCCATTGATCGCTGGTACAACGATGAATCCTATTTAGATAATCTCACTTCTTATTCTACACCAACTTTGAACACAAGACTACCTATGGAGAAACAAGTAGCATATGCTTATACCGAGACAATGTTCATTAAGTTTCAAAAGGAACTGGATGAAGTGATATCGATTGCGGTAAATAACATTGAGGATGATGGGTCAATCAACGCATACAAGTTGACCACATATGAAAAAAATAGCAAAGAATATATACTTATATTTTATGTCTCTAAAACCGAAGCAACTTGTAGCCGTAAATTATTTGAGTTTTTTGGTACCTTTTTAAACATATGTTAGCCGTTTTGCATCGTGAGCATGTTCAAGAAATCCCATCCCAATACATTTTAAGGCGATGGACAAGGAATGCCAAGAAAGGGTTAAATGAGCATAAAAAATTAGTGATGGAAAATTCCATGAATTCTCTATCCTAACGATTCAACTATTTAAGTCGCAAAGCAATTAACATTATAGAGATTGGGCAAAATCTACACTTGTTTTTGATGTAGCGTTGTTAGTATTTCAAGAATTAAGGCAAAGAGCTATCTGCGAGGAAAGTATTGAAAATGCAACACAAGTTTGCACTATGGGCAATGAAAGTAACATGGGAGTAGCTACGACAACAAGTGAAATAAATCTAGATTGTTCAACAAGTGATATTATATTGCAAAGTCTATTGCTACCAACAACAAATGGCCGCCCTTCGACCATAAAAATTAAAGCACCATCAGAGAAGAAGCCGTGAAAGCTTGTTACATGTCATATGTGCAACAAAGTGGAACATAATTCTCGCACTTGTTCATTGTCAAAAAGCAGTGATTCACACCTTGCAGAAGTAAAATATTGGTTATGTTGTAAGTATTGATTACTTTATACTCTCTTTATCTACTTTTTCTTCTTACTCTCACCACTTGTATGACAAGTTATTGTGTTTTTTAACATACGTTATAGATTTCAACGATAGATGCCATGACCACGGGTTAGTCCTCGAATGCTTTGATTCAAGATTATAGTGGTACGTTTTAGATATGCTTTTACTATTATGGTACTCTTCCCAATGACATACATGCAAGCTAGTTAAATATATTTTGTTTCATATGATAATTTCTTTTGTACCTATCATTTATTTTGGCCATGACATTTGGAACCTCTTAGTGAAAACCTATTATTTATTGCTTAGTGGTGATTTTTTACTCTTTACATGCAATTTGATGCAACCACAACATTTTGTTCCGACCCTTGTGGATGAGTCCCACTTTTGTTATGGAGCTACTCATTGGGAGGGACAGCCCAGCTTAGCATCCGATGATCTCGCTAAAGAGGAGCAACACAAGACAACAAACATAGGATTTTTTTAGAACCTTTTTTAGCATATGGTCTCCCATTTTTTTTATTTAAACTTCTTATTTATATTTTTGATATAAAGCATTTTTTTAGCCTCTTTTTGGGTTTTTGTATAGAGCAACCTCTTTGTGGGCCGCTTAACACTTGTAAATGGTACTAGCAATTTTTTCTTGTTACGGTTCTAGTCTATAGAAATATTATAGAAAATGAGAATTACATGCTGAAATTTGATGTGTATATCTTAGCCTCCACCCTCAAGTATCATGAGTGTGGATGGTCTCTCTCTACATACTGTCATCGGACACTCTAGATTGGACCGAAATCATTGACAATGAACACTTAACTAAGTTTCAAATAGTAAATGAACAAAAACGGTAAACCATATCCAAAATCATTCATTCCATATAGAGAGAGCAGAAAACAATTGTGCAAGCTGGGCAACAAAATGTCATCTTATTTGATAAGAGCAGAATAATGTCCCCTTGACAGCTCACAAAGACTATATGATTTTATAATACTTCTTTGTTATTGATATGGTACAACTTGGTAATCGTTACTTTTTTTTTGGGTAAGTCAATGGGGGAGAGCCGAATTGTTCATTAATAGGAAAAAGAAGAACACATTATTTTACAACCCTATAATAGGGCAGCTGCGCCAAATCATGCAAACGTTACTTGTCATATAGATAATACAAGTCTCATAAGAATAGAGATTAGAGAGAGACTGAGCAATAAAACATTATTGGGATAGGGATCACCTTTATGATGCAAGTTTCATAAGCCTAGTGGGCAATTTTGGACCTTATATAGAAAAACACAAGGTTACAAAAATACGGTCCTGACCATATTTTTCGGTATTTTATAGATCGAATTATAATTTTTTTCTCTTGCTCTCACACTCTCTACATACACGACCTGTATTATATCATATCCATAACATTGCATCTCTTAGATAACAAAAAAGTTTACAAAGTTAGATAATAAAAAGTTAACTATAAATTCTCCGATAATTGATTAAATAATATTTCACAGTACCAACATAAAGTAAAAAGAAGTTGTTCTATACAATTCACATTTTTGCACTCAATATGGGACGTAAAATTTCAACTGGCTGTTCTATACAATTGAACAAAAATGTCAACATCCAGGGCCTTCTTTAGCCCATGTAATTTCACCCCAAGTTTGGATGTTATCTTCTTTTCAAAAAGCATGAAAGAAAGAAAACAAACATTTGACTATGTCTCTTGTGTCAACAATAAAACAATAGAATAAAAATCACGCATGTAATAATTAAACAAACCAAAACTCTAACCTAAACATAAGGGGCTCATATAATACCATGTCAATTAGAATTTCGTAGAAATAAGTCAAAGAGGCAGTGGGTTATAGTGCTTTGCACACAAGTAGTTTAACAATGCCCAGATAGTTCCCATTATTAGTTAAGGCATGATCCAGGGTATTTACACGTTAAATCTGTATGACCACAACAAAGTCAAGTCTCCAAAAGGACTTATGTGTAATCAAAAGAAAGCAACCCCACTCATTAAACACTCTCATCAAAACAAAATGAGTATGTGTGTATGTGTGAGCTACTATTGTAGAGAGGACTCTCTCTCCTCTCTCTCTCTCTCTCTCTCCCTCTGAGAGAGAGAGAGACAGAGAGAACATGATACAATTAAAGCAAAACCATTGTTTGCATTATAGATACATGAGAATCCAGTCAATTGAAGACAAATCATTGCTTGCATCATAGAGACATAAGAATCCAATCAATATAGAGTCAAGTCTTAAGAAGAAAAGAAACAGAAAGGAAAACCACAACATACAACATATTACAGGCAAGAAGGTGAAGAATCAAGCAGCCTGCTTTGTTAAATTTTAAAGCACAAATAGAAAATCCTAACAAATTCCAACTGACGTAAGTGAATATCGCCTTCTAAATCTATTTAAAAATGTTCATGGGGAAACCATGAACGTGCACCTGTACTCATCAGCCTTTTAAGAAGGACCAGAGCATCTACTAAAAAAGTAATCGGCCTTATAACTTGCTTAGGAAATGCTTCCGTACCATTACATCCAAGTTGCATGTTGATCATCCATCCCATCCATCATATCTAATGGTAACTTTGCTTAAACACCCTTTCATGATTATGGTACTCTGCTGATGATTAATCATGTAACAAAATCCATTAACCACTCATTCATATGAAGGAGGTGACACACTCTGAACTTGTTATCACATCCATTCATTCATCCCTATATTCATATGCTCATGAACTCTTGTGCCGTATTTCTACTATGGTGGGGTTCCACATCATTGCTCAAACAACCAAAAGTCAAACAATAAGTACATATTCATGAAATTGACAATCTTTCAAAGACAAAGTTAATGCTCTAGAATTCAAGTTTCATTATGAGTTCAGAAAAAACAACATTGGAATGTATTATACAATTGAAGGGATTAAACACATCAATTTCATCAGAACTACAAAAGTTATATACATCAATTCTTTTATCATCTAAAAAAAGGAAAACAAATGCATTATAGGTAATACAAACTCAAACCATTATTAAAGAATTAAGATATTTGTTTCATGTATGAATAAGAAATACAATAAAGGTTGTGATGGAAGAAAATATGATGGTAAATGGAAGAACATGAATAACATTTATTCAACAATTTGTGGAAAACTGAGAATAAACCAAGATTTTTAAAATTGCAAAAAAAATTTATTCAACAAAATCTAAGAATAAGTTGCAGAGGTATAGTCTTGAACAAAACCATTTGAATGAAGAAAAATCACTAAAAATTTGGCAGTAAAGTACATTTTCAAGGGTTTTGCAGCTATGAACAACAATTTCATTATATACAAAGCCATATATATTTTTAAAACCGCTCATTTAAAAAAGCCCTGACATTCAAACCTCTAAAACTAGGTTTTAGAAAGCACCCTAAACCCTATAGAACCATAGATTTTTTAAAAGGAAAAAGTTTATATAAAGTAGCAACATTAAATGTAGAACTGGGAATGCACCTCAAAAATCCATCAGAAAAGGTTGTTTTAATGTTGAAAAATCCTCTAATTGATCATCTCGACATGGAGATGCATGACTATGACAAAAAAAAGGATTTTGAGTCCCATAAATAGTGCATCTTACAATATATTATCTAGACCGTCCATTTTCAAGATTTTCATATGCTTATAGATCTACTTGATTTTAACTATTTTTGGAGTTTAAAATTTTATAATTAGATATGAAAATAGATTTTGAGAGAATCCTTAAAATATTTTACATCAAAATTTTATGTTATGATAAATTTTGAATGTGCGCCATAATTGGATTGTTTAAGGTTGCAACCTTAAGGAAACCATACCCTTTTTAAAATCTCTAATTTAAAAAGCCCCAATGTTCAAACCTATAAAACCACCCTAAACCCTAATCCTATACAGGCCCAAACTTTTTTGAAATCTTTAATTTAAAAAAGGCCTAACATTGAAACTTGTAAAATCACACTAAACCCTAATATTATGATGTAATAGAGAGAGAATATTGTACCTTGGTCGTAGCTGGGAAGGTGGTATCTGTTGAGGTAGTTGTTTTGCGGGGTTTGAGAGAGAGAGGTGCAGGAAAGTCATGAGGGAAAGAGAAGAGGAAAGCCATGAGGGTGAGAGCGAGGTGCAGGGAAGCGGGGAGCACTGAGGGAAAGAGAAGAGAGAGGTTGTGAGGGTGAAAGACTAGACAAAGAGAAAAAGTGAGGGAGGAGAGAGGAGCGTTCATCTTGCTTGAGAGAGAGAACTTTAGAGACAAGGACAACTCTTGTTGTACTTATTCTGAGAAATTTAAGGAGAGAGAGAAAAAGAAGGTAAGTATAAGGGCAATTGAATTTTTATCTTGAGAAGTGAGTCTTGAGATCTACGGTGATCTATAGGGTCTCACCACTATATGTGGCAGGGTCCTATAGAATCATTTCTCATATTATAATATAGTATATATTTATGTAATATAATATTGAAAAAATTATAGATATCCCCTAAAATGAACTTTGTAGATATCTTCCTCACCAATACTTTTATCACACAATAGACCCAAACACTTTTTCTTTTCTTGTATTTATCTCTCTCACCCTCTCTACCCACCTTCTCTCTTTCTCTCTCTCTACTTGCCCTCTCTCTCTACCTGCCCTCTCTCTATATATATATATATATATATATATGTCGCCCCACTCTCTACCTGCCCTTTGTGTCCTCTCTCACTTTCTCTTATCCGCTCTCTCTTTCTCTCACTACCTGCCCCTTCTCTCTACTTGCCTTTTCTCTTACTCTCTTTCTACCCATCCTCTCTCTGTGAAATCTCTCTCTACCTATTTTTTTTGCTCTCTCAAAATCTTTCTCTAGAGAGAGAGAGAAAGAGACAGACAAGCGGGTAGAGAGAGTAAGAGAGGGCGAGTAGAAAGAGAGAGGGCTGGTAGAGAGAAAAAAAGAGAGAAGGCAGGTAGAGAGAGAGAAAGAGAGGGTGGGTAAAGAGACTTAGATAAGAGAAAGGTATTTTAGCCTCAGGTTTTTTTATTTTTTGATTGAGAGTAAATACAAGAAAAAACAAAATTTGGGTATAGGGTATGATACTAAAAGTATTGGGGGGAAGATGTTTATGAAGTTCATTTTGTGGAGTATCTATAATTTTCCTATAATATTTAAATAAAACTTATATAATATAATAGTTATGTAATATTTATATATTTTTTATGTTATATATATTTAGTTATAATATTTAAATATTACATGTATAGATTTAATATATTTACAAACTATATTTAAATACCAATCAAGTTACCAAACATATGTAATTCATTTCGCAATGCTTTTTAAACGTGTTGACAAACATTGTAAGAAGAAAGTTTGCAAAAGTCGTTCCTGCTGGGTGTTTACTTATGTAAATATTTTTCATGGGAAAATATTTACTCACCAACGAAACATGCCTTAATAGTTCGATATCGTAAATATTCTATAGGTTGTGGTTCTTGCCTTAGAATTAGATCACTACGTATAGGATCGGTAGGCAAAGTTGATTGTGGAGCTCGATTCGTCTCCAGGGTGAGATTTGGTGCAAGATCAATGGCTTTATGAGCACCCTCTTTACGGCGGTTAGTATTTTGTAATCTTCAGATCTATTGGTTTCATATATTCCACTCTCTCAGGTAAAACCATATAATAATATTTGTATTTCAGAAAGCACGTGCACTCCACAATTCTATCTCTATTTTAAATTTGTGAAATTTCACTTCCACTTGGTCCAATCCAAACCTTCTATAGAAAGGAATGCGTATAGCATGCTCTCATAAGACACATTGTATGCTTGCATCCATGAAAATACTTCTGAATTTATCTCGAGGATTATATAAATAGAAAAAGACCCATGATTCTTTTTTTTTTTTTTTTTCAAATACTTTAGGAGTTATTCTTTCCTCCCTTTGTGCCAACACATATGTTGTAAGCTAATTGTTTTCAATGTTTCTTTTTTTTTTCCCCCTGAAATTTGATGACAGAGCCATCTGGGTAGAGCTTGGTATTTATTTTATTAAAATCTATTTTATCCTACTATTCTTGTTCCGCATTTATCCACCCTAATGCATAGGGCCTAGGGTACCTTGTACATGATTATGTGCGTCGTATCGCAACTGTCAACTTCTTTTTAGCTATTTTTCTCGTTCTCCCCGTTTGCTTCTTGTGAAAGCACTTTGGGAGTACCTTGGGAATGTTTGTTTTCTGAAAGAGTTTTTTCATTAGTCTGAAAAAGCACTTTCACATCTAAATAAGTATTAACGTTAAAAGTCAAAAAAAATAAAAAAGCCTGGCTACAATATCTATCGCTTTCTACAAAAATAAATACAGGACAATAATAGTCCGGCGAAAAATCGTTTAAGAAACAGGCCCTATATGAGAATTTCTCTGAAAAATATTAGAAAAATAGCTACTACAAGATTCAAGATTCAAGATTGGAGGAGGGATAGTGATGTGCCAGCTGTTGCTATGAGCATGTTGAATTTTCCCCGTGTGTGTGGTTTGATCTTTATTATTTTTTCCCTTCAATATTTCCACTTGTGACTTGTTGCATGTGACTGCCAAACAATCACATTTGTTTAGGGTTTCTTTTTTTTTGGTTTGTGGCACCTAAGGCAACAAACATAAACATTTGTAGTCATGTAGCATGTATTTAATACTGGTCAATTGTAATTTATTGGGCAAATAATGACTTCTGTCTAGTGACAATATAAAGCCAAATGAGCTGGTTTGGTAACTGGTATTCTTCACTTTGAAAACATTGTTTTTTAATGTCTTCACTTCGAAAACTCTTCTTTTTTTAATGTCTTCACTTTGAAAACTCTTGTGAGTTTGTGACATTTTCTCTTCTGTGACATAATCATGAGACACATGGAACAAAATGGAGCATCAAGGTTAAGAAGAACACGAAATTGGTCCACTGCCACAATTTGAAAACATTTTAAATGTGAAGGGTATCATAGGAAATGTTAGGAAGAAGAAAAGAAAACGTGAAAGAAACATGGCACACAAAGGAACAAAAACAGGAATTGCTTCTAGAATAGATAGTTGTTCAAACCGATTATATAAAAAGGAAGCCATTTCCTGCCATTAATTCGAGAAATGGTCTGTTTTTTTGAAATTGAAAGTTTGAAACTGGTACGAATGTGAAATCTTTTGACTGACGGAAGCATCCATTTTATCCTCCAAATGAGTCAAATAAACACATACATAGAGGCATAGTTTACTTCTATTCCCTTGGTTATCAGATTTACTTGGGAGGATTTTTTTCCAATCTGAAATTTTGAGAACCACTCAAGAATTATTAGATGATTATTCGAAAAAAAATATATATTGAAATTTGAGTTCTTTGCCATATGGAGGGTCTCTATTCAATCTCAAGACATTATTTTTCCAAGTGCATAGATGGTACTACTAAATTGGTTTTTTTTAATTTAGATTAATCTATGTTTGAAGTGGGTACATCCCTAAAATTTGGTTTCCTAAAATTTATTCTCGGTGAGATTTTACCCAAGGCAGTATATGCGCATTCTACTCCTATGGGAGTAGAATACCTTTTGGGTACATGTATTATGGCAGGAAAAAATTTACATGAGTTTTCAACCTTATACTACAAAAGTAAGGTGCACCTCAAAACTTCAGGAAAAAAGGGTGTTTCAAAGTTGAAAAATCTTCGAAATGATCATTTCAACTTAAAGAAGTATGGATATAAATGTTGGAATAAATGGTCCAACAACTGAAGCGGAAGCAAAATAATCAATTGAGAACCGAGTATCATACCTAAGTGATTGTAAAATAGTTTTGGTGAATGAATGTGGAGAGGAATGATCAACTCACATAGGCACGTCCGACAACTACAAGCTACCGAAATATATTCTACACCGTAAATCCTGAACGAGGTGGAAGCTCACAAATACTCTTACAAACGCGATTGAGGAGCAGTCCAAGCTTGACTCTCACGTACAACTCTATCTCTTAGGGCCGGTTCTATCATTAGAACTTGAATGGGAGAGAGATTGTACTCACTCTCTTTCACACACTTTCTCTATCTCAATAGAAGCTCTCACACCTTTCTTTTGTGTATGTTGTTGTTATGTAGAGGCCTCCACCCCTCTCTTTTTATAATGAGCGAAAGGAGCATCTCATTCATGTGAGTAACTTTCTCATGAATGGGCACCTTTATGGTGCATGGTGCATGGTGCATGCCATTCATAGGAGAGTAACCCCATCTTGAAGAAGTGCAACATCTCCCCACCTCCCTTCATGTAGTAATGTAAGTCAAATGTGAAGGAGGTGTGGTCCGCTTGAGTGTACCCTCACACTAGGGATGCACCCTCATGTCTACAATGAAGGAAAACTAAAATTAAGTCCTAAAAATAATTATCTTGGCCATTTATTTTTCAAGGTATTCATGTGCTTATAGATCTGCTCGATTTGTTACTGCTTTTTAGAATTTTTAAATTTCATAATTATGGGTGAACATGGATTTTCAAGCCATCATAAGGTTTCTACACCAAAACTACATCTCCCATAAAAATTTAAAGGTGTGCTTTACGTGTATGGTATAAGGTGAGCACCTCATACAAACCTCAACTGAATAGCTAATAGTGCATGCTTTGGTCCTTTCAAAGAGATCAAGTGAAAAATAATTTTTGAAAAATAAATCAAATAATTACTTTTATATTTTTAGAGAAATTTTCATAAGTGTCCTTTATAGTTTGTGGAAGTTAAAAAAAATCCTTTATTTTTCATATCTTACATTCCTTCTTTTGTTCTCCAAAATGCCTTGGTTTAGCTTGAAGTTCCGGTTCAGAGCCTAACGTTCCAAAGTATTTTTTTCTTCTATTTTTTGAGTGGCAATTTTGCTTGGAAGTTCATGTTTTGAGTAGGGTCCCATCTATTTTCTTGGTGAAAGACCAGTTCGGAACTTAAAATTCCGAACAAGTTCCCTTGTAATTTCCTTTTTGAATGATGGATAGGTTCAAAACTTCAAGTTCTAGACTAGGTCGCCTTATTTGTAAATAAATACATAAGGAAAAGTGAGTACAATTTGTTCCTTAGGGGCAAATTGTAAACTTAGCCACTAGAATAGAAGACTTAGATCAAAAGGTGACGGCATTACTCTCTAGACGGTCAGATGGGGTCTTGTGGAAATTTTTCGCAATCTACGGCTTCTCACACATTGTTCATCTACCCAATGCTTATAGCATCGGGTACTAGACCTATTTGAGTTACAGTGGCTACTTTCTTTCTCCATTGATAATTTCATAGCACCATTGTGGAGAACTATTGTGATGTGGCAGGTGTGGAAGGAAAAACGTAGTAAAGAATTTGAAGTTGTGATGGATATCAACACCTTTAAAACAAAAACCACGGTCATTCCAATTTCATGGGCCACATCAAGAAAGGAACTCTTTGGGGCATTTTCGAGGCTAATGTCGTATCATGCTTTGATGATGTGGTGGGCATGGGGCAGCAGAGTAGGTCACTCTCAAGTAGTCGGCTGCCCTACTCCCCCTGTCACGTCCCCTAGCCCAAACAAAAAAAAAAAAAAAAAAAAGCCGTGAAGGAGTATACATATTAAATTTCGACAAGAGTTCCCCAGGCAATCCAGGCTAGGAGGTACTTGGGACATGTGAAGGGAACGTATAGAAGATGTGTACTCAGGCATTTGGGGAGTGCAATGCATATGAGGAAGCTAGATCCTTATTACAGGGGCTATGGGCGGTAAAAATAATATCCGGGCAAAGCTGCTAGTTGAAGGAGATTACCTAGATACACTAAAACAAAACATACTAAATGTTGGCATTTTATTCTTATTTTGGATGAAATTAAAGACGTCAGCAGAAATCCGTTTTGCTCACATCCACATAGAAAAGGACTCAAATGCAAAACTCTGACATGAGAAGGGGTTGTCAAGTAAGTCTTGATAGTCCAAGGATTATGATATTAATTAGGTCCAATTTTCTAGTCTTGTGTTACAATTAAAATAAAAAAATACATTGGCAAATTACTTAGAAAAATGATCCTCTTATGTGTAACAAAAGAGAAAAATGATCCTCTTATGTGTTTCATGTTGATAACATCCAACATGAAACACTAGAATAGATCCCCTCTTCTATTGTTTCATTTTGTTTAAGACACCACACGATTCAAGCTTGGGCTTGATCAGTGGCGATGTTAATTCAGCTAAACCCCCGAAAGATTGATTTAATGCAAGAAGTCTCGATCCTTTCATGGCAAATTCAGCTAAACTGAAACTAAAGGGAGAAGAGACTACGGATTCAACAAAAGAAGGAAAAAAATATAAACTTCCACAGAGTGTGCATTGCATATGACAATCAAGGAGAGAACAAATTAGGACTCGAAGTATATCAAATTCCAAAGTCAGAATTTCAGGAAAGAATATATCATTGCAAAGTTAGCGAACAACAAAACAAAATTTGAAGTTACCTAAGCATAAGGAAAGAGGTGTCAGAAAACTGAAGAAAGAGAAACAAGAACTCAAGTACAAAACCATAGGAAAATGAGAATACACAAAGAGCAATATTTTAAGGGTGTGGTTTCTATAATGTTGCAACTTTAAACAATCCAATTAAGGCGCATCTCCAAATTTTAACATAACACGTAATTTTGGTGTAAAAAATTATTAGCATTATCTCAAAATCTATTTTTATATCTAATTATAAAATTTTAAACTCCAAAAATGGTTAAAATCAAGTAGATCTATAAACATATGAATATCTTGAAAATGGACGGTCTACATAATGTGTTGCAAGATGCATTATTTTTGGAACTTAATTTTTATTTTTTATTTTTCATATTCATACATCTCGATGTCAAGATGATCAATTAAAGGATTTTTCAACATTAAAAAAACTTTTTTTCAATGGATTTTTAAGGTGCATATGTAGTTCTACATTTTAAGGTTGCAACCTTATATAAACGTTTTCCATATTTTAAAGAGCAATTACTTATTAGGTTTGGTAGAAGACTAGTCCTGTTCTTGGAACCCAACATCAGTCTCATTCAATGGGAATCACTCAATTCTATCAAAGAACCTGATAGTTTTGTGATGGGTGATCAAGTCCAAAAATCGGACATTTCTGTATATTTTGATACTTTTAATTATGTAATATTTTAATCTTCGGGTTTTAAGATATTGCCACTAGGGTGGGCAACAAGACAGACTGGGGCGGGGGCTTATGTATAGTAGTTTAGTCTTGAAATCAATAGGGCCAGCCCAAGCTTAGGTCGGGTCTGGCTTGGACCTTGGCAAAGAGGCCCTGGCCCAGGCCCAACTCTAGACTTATTTGGGCCGGACTAGATAAAATAAAAAAAAATAAAAGAGAAAAAATAAAGAAAAGGAGGGCTAAACTGGATAGCCCAATCCTAGCCCCACTCAAGTTGGCCCAACCCCGACCCTCGGAGCATAGTGGTTCGCCCCTGGCTCAACCCTGACCCTCGAAGCATAGTGGTCCAGCCCTAGCCCCTATTGGGGCTAGACTAAATAAAATAAAAAAACGAAAGAGAAAAAAAAAAAAAAAAATAGGGCTAAACTAGCTGGCCATGGAGCCACCCAGCCCCGATCCTCGGAGCATGGTGGCCCAGACTTGGCTCAGCCCCCCCATACCCCTGTTTTTTAGGGACCGCCTACCACCCGGTCGACTGCCACCTCAAAATTTTCCATGACATATCAGTAAACCACAATCTCTATAATCCGCATCATAAAGAGTAGTCCACTCGCTCTCTATAGCATGTCGTGATGTGGTGGTACGCTTCTCACGGATAAATGGATAAGTCCAACACAAATAAACGAACCCGTCATCCACAAAGACGACCTTCACATACATTCCTTGAGAGGGGCTCTCTCTTCCCTCTTCCCTGTACATTACGTACCATTACGCCTATTTTCACTCGACCAGTGATGGCTTCTGTGCAGAGTCTAACCGCCACTCAAATGATCTTCCCATTGCCTGGTTCTTTGCAGGTTCGGTGCTCTTTCTCTTGTAATTCTTTCTCTGTGTTTCTTAATCTTTTGGTGAGAGACTGAGGGACTCATATGGTCTCTTTTACTCATTTGACTGTATTTCAGCTGGGTTTATCTCATGCATGTCTTCTCCCATTCTGTAAAAGACGGGTTCCTTTCCTTGTAAAGGCTTGCTCCACCCCACAGACAATGGCTCCTCCAAGACAAGGTAATTAGCCCGGTCTTCTTCACATTGTTTTTTTGTTTATTTGCTCTTTTTATCTCTTTCGGTCATTTTGTTATATATAAAAAACGGCTTTTTCCCCTCAGAGTGAGTGTGTTTTCTTGGTGGTTTGGTGGGAATTAATGCTTCCATCCGTTTCATTAATATGGGGATGATGCATGTTTGAGTAATTTCTTTACCCGTTTTATAATGTTGTGGTTACTGGAGTGGTGATAAAAAAAATGTGAAAATGATATTGTAGTCTTGTTTTGGTAAATTGGGATTGTATAATTATGGAATTTTGACCTACATTTTACTCAACCTTGTGTTTTCTAATGGTAACCGGAAATGTGCTTGGGAGATTTAGTGTTGGAAATATATCCTTGAAGGAGGAAAATGCCTTTGATTTACTTCGTCTGTACTCGGTACTTGATGGACACATGTTAATTTTCTGCAGGAAAAAAATGAATGAATCTTCAAGTGATCCTTTAGAATTTGTAGTTATAGTGCGGCGTGAGGCTGTGAGGCAAGTCTCTTAACAATGCAGACCCCAAATTGGTGAAGGAAACAACAATGCTGAAAATGCATTAGAAGTGGCTTCAATGTAAATTTGTTAGATCTGGGAAGTAATATGAGAAGATGCTTACATTTTTGTGCAGTGAAAGTCACACATAAGTGGCATTTCTACTAAAGAGGAAAATTTTCTCAATAGGTTCATGGCTTATGCTATGGGGCTGGAATTTGGATCAGTTTAAATAACTTTGACTGCCAACCCATTTACTTTTACATTGTTATTGTCATCATTGTTATCTCAATTCATTGTTGTGGAGACCAGAGACTGCCTCACATTCTAAAATCAGTTTGTATGACCATTTAGAGAAAGAATAGGAAATCGATTTGCTGTAATGAGAAGTTTGGTATTCTGGCATGGAGTTTACTTGAAAGACAAATGAGTGCAGCGAAATTGTAGGGAGTGGCTTGTCAGGGGTGGTAAGGTCCATGTGTCAAATGTAAATTATTTTTTCTAAATTTGGTAGGTTAGTCAACATTTGGAGATTGGAGAGTATACGGATCAGGTGTGAAAGTTGAGGGAACGTGAATCAAGATAAGATTCATGGAGGACGTGCCATTAAAGAGCCTGGTTGTAATATTTGTAGCAAAATCACTGGTTACAGTCTTCAAATATCTTATAGTGGACGGTATCAATTGCAATCCATTGGTGAACTATGGTGGGTTTATGAGAAATAAATGCCAAGCTACCACCAATGTTGCAATTCAAATAATACATCACACTTGCATAAAATATTGAAGAGGGATTGGAACTCTATAGCCACATAACTTATCTGAAAGGGACGTTGTCAATGTCTAAACCTCGTGAAACTTTTTGGGATAAACCAAGATATGTGGCCTTAGAAGAACCCAATTTTTCTTTCTTTTTTTTTTTGCTGAACTTACGAGGGGTTTGAGAGGGTTCGCACCCATTGTATTTATAGGTGAAAAAGGAAGCACAATGGCAAAATGACATTGAACTCACTATATACTCTTTTATCTTCTGTATGTACATGAGGTCCTCACTACATGTCAGTCAAGTGGGCTTTGTAAGTTTTGCTCCCCCTATCCTATAAATGGTTCTTTTGCATTCTTCCTTTGGAGGGATAAGCATATTTTACAGGAATCTATTTTTTGATCGTCCAAGTTACCTCCCTTAGAACCCTTTGGAAGGATTGGTTGCAGTCTTCTTTTACCCTCCTATTTTTTTCTCCTCCTCCTCCTCTTCTTCTTTAGTAAGAAGAACCCAATTTGTTTGGGGTAGAGTAGGGAAAGCACTATTTGAAAGTCTTAAGTGATTCCCACGTTAAGGGTGTATAAGAATTCCAGTCACCAGTTCTATGACTCTATGTTAGCTCTATTGTGCTTGTAATCGAGCTGCCAAACTTTCTCTTTGACATATGCTAGAGCCATTCCAGAAAGAACACTTTCGTAATGCTGACATGTATAGATATATGCTGAATGCTTCTATATCTCTCCTTCTATGGAAATCCCTGCCTTGGAAGGGATTTTAAAGGGCTATTCTAATTCACTAGATAAATTTTGCTACAGTCTCTCTTCAACTAACCTGATAATAATTATTCTAAAAAAAACCCATCGATAATTTTTTCATCAGTCTTTGTTAGCCTAAAATGGAAAACTGTGATTAAGTTTATTGATAAAACATCCTCCTCAGTTTTAATTTTGCACTCTATGCAGGGCAGGGTATCAGATTTAGAGTCAAGAGATGTCCTTTCTCTTACAATTAATTAAAACAAATGACACTTGGCTGTTGTTGTCATCTGATTGGATCTTTATATTTGCAGATGCAGCTACGAGGCGTCAAACTCTTGTGTTAGGAGCACTTGCAGCTAGCTTTTCTCTTATTAATGCTGCTTCTCCATCACGTGAGCAGTTAATTCAGTTATGTTCTTTCTTGTTATAATCTGTTCATTGCTCCATCATTTTCCTACATGAGTAGCATTGAAAGCACGCCTGCTGATTATGCAGTGCGTTGGTTCCTTGATAATGATGGATGTCCTAAGAGAACACCCTTGGTATGGCACAGTTGCTGCAGAAGCTCTAAAAGGATTTCAAGCTGTCTCAGACAAGAATGATGGATACTCATTTCTCTACCCATTTGGGTGGCAGGTTGGTTTTAGCTCCAGTTTTGTTCTGTTTTTTTTCCTAACCTTTGTTATATCTATGATGAATGACTGTTCATTGCTTCTATATTTTTAGGTCACTATTCTGGCACTTGTTTTATCTATGATTCTCAAGATGAAGGACATACATCTCCATGAATAATATTTGTTTGTTTCACTAGGAAGTGGTCATTCGGGGGCAAGATAAGGTTTTCAAAGATGTGATTGAGCCCTTAGAAAGTGTGAGTGTTACAATGGCGCCAACCAGTAAACAAGATATTCGGGACCTTGGATCACCTCCGGAGGTATGAATTACAATAACCACTGCTGGAAATTCCTAAAGCAGAAAATGCTGTTGCCTTTATTTGATATCCTGGTCGAGATCTGTGTATCCAGGTTGCTGAGGCATTGATTAAGAAGGTTTTGGCTCCTCCCTCACAAACAACTAAGCTAGTTGAGGCAAAAGAGGTTAATTCTCCCTTAGACCTTTATGTTGTACAAGTCAAAAACACATGGCAAGTTTATGCATGTATTACCCTCTGGAATACATATGATTAGTTTTAATCCATTATTTATTGTAGTCTAGGTATGATTATATACTTTATCCATGGTAATTCTATGTTTTTTGTTTTATGCGATTCAAATTTAATGGTTAACATAAGTTCATACAAGAAAAGAACATCTTAATTATTCACAAATTGATTAAAAATGAAAGTTTTTCTTATTAGATTCTTAAAAAATAACATTTATAATGATTTTTCATAATTTTTTTGGATTTTTTTTAAAGCTTAATAGGACCGATTCGGCCGATTCGCGATCCGGATCGTCGATTCATCGATCCGGATGGGTTTTTGAGGTGCCCGATCTGGGGCACCGATCCGTTTTTTAAACCACTGGTACGAACTGTCGAGGGATCAAATTATGAGTCACACTATGGAGTTGTGGGAGAGAGTGATTGAGTAACAACTAAGACATGAAATGAGTGTATCAGAAAATCAGTCGATTTTTTGCCATAGAAGTCAACAATTGAAGCTATTTTCCTACTTAGAGAACTGATACTTAGAGAACTGATTGAGAAGATTAGGGAGAAGGGAAGAGACCTCCATATGGGCTTTATTGATTTAGAGGAAGCATACCTCAGGGTACCTGGAGAGTTAATTTGGTGGGTGTTTGAAAAGAAAGGAGTTTCTAGATGATATATTGACATGGTGAGAGAGATATACGAGAGAGCACTATCTAGTATGATGACAACTAGTGGAGAGAAGTGAATTTTCAGTGCAATCGGCCTACATTAGGGGTCAACATTGAGCCTATATCTCTTTGTTTTAGTTATGAACGAGTTAACTAGGCATCTATAGGATGAGGTATTGTGGTGTATGTTCTTTGTGGAAACATGGTTTAATTGATGAGACTAGAGTTGGCATCAATGTAAAGTTAGATATTTGTAGGGATGCTCTAGATTATAAATGTTTAAAAATTAGCCTAACTAAGATAAAATATATGAAATGCAAGTTTAGTAATAATAAGAGTAGAAATAAGGAAGTAGTTAAGATTGATGACCAATAAATACGTAAAAGAAATTATTTTCAATATCTTGGATAGATAACTTAGGAGAATGGATAGATTGAGGAAGATGTTGCGCATAGAATTAAAGCTGGGTGAGCAAGGTACAAATATGCATCCAAGGTTTTATGTGATTGCTGTACACCAATGAAATTGAAGGAGAAGTTCTATAGGACAGTGTAAGACGAGCCATGTATTATGGGACAGAGTGTTGGATGGTCAAGAAACAACATATCTATATACGGCTGATATAAGGATGTTGAAATGGATGAGTGGTAAGACAAAAAAGGATAGAATTCACAATGAATACATCCAGGGGAACTTAGGGGGTTCCAATAGGCGACAAGATAAAGGAAAGTAAACTTAGGTGGCTGGCCATGTATGACATAAATCCAATACAACATTGGTTAGTTGGGACAATTTGGTTCAAGTGAAATGCTCTAAAAGGGCAAGGAGAAGGCCCAAAAGGACAATAATGGACGTAGTGAGAAGAGATATGGTGACTTATAGTCTGACTCAGGGTATGACTCTTAATAAAGCATAATGGTGAAACAAGATTTATGTAGCCGATCAAATAGTTGGGACAAGGCTCAGATGATGATGATATGTTCTTTCATAATCAAACTTCTGAATCCCCTGTAAGGTTTGGGAGATTTATATGTTTATTGTATTATGATATATCTAGCAAATAAGAACAAGATTTTCCCTATGTAATGGTGGAAAAATGACTAAATTTGATTGTTGTTATATATATATATATATATATATATATATGGCTTATGTTAGGGTGCTCACACCATGGAGTAATTTATCATTGTACTCAACAAAATTTGGACATTTATATACCCTTGTTTTGTATATAGAGCTTTTCTTTAGTAAGGGTATTTTTGGTCATTAAGAGGGATGTGACATCTACATGGGGTGTAACATCACCCACATGGAGCATTAAATTCCACTACATGGGGTGTAACATCACCCCCAAATGGTATCAGAGCAACTTTGTTTATTAATTGTATTTTATTAGTTTTTACACGTTTGGTCCCAAATGGTATCAAAGCCAAATGATCCGATAAACCCGTAGATTCAGAGCCAAAGAGATCCAAATAAGAGCCAAAGTCGATCCCAAAACAAAGCCAAATGATCAGATAAACCTTTAGGCAGAGCCAAAGATGATCCAAATCAGAGCCAAAGATGATCCAAACCATAGCCTAATAATCCGTTTAAACTTGTAGTTTAAAATGCCCATTCCGATTAGAACCCAGTCTAAAGCCTAGCTAAAGTCAACTTCAGTACTTAGGTTGTTAACTAGAGTATGTTACTAACTAGTACTTCCGAAATCTAGTTTTGTTTTAGAAATAGTTTTGTTTAAAGTTAAAATGCAGCTGGAGGTGAGGCCAACCGATAGTCGAGGGTGGAAGCCAACCGATAGTCGAGGGTGGAAGCCAACCTGTAAGTAGTTATTTAATCAGTGTGGGAGGCCATTGTATACCCGTTTGAGATGACTAAGGGCTTTTGAAGTTCATTATTCATTGAAGCGGTTATTGCTAGGTAGGACGTTTTAAGCCTTAGGCAGGTCGGACGTGGTAACTAAAGGTCAGGTAGAGACTTTGAACTAGACTATGACTGAATCCGAATTAGAACAAGAAGTTTTAGATAACAGCAATTCTGGATTCATACTAAATACGGAAGAGCAGGAGTTTGAATCTTTAGTTGTCCCAACGAATTGAAAATGACCTATCACCCACTAGTATCTATAGGATTGGAACCGTCAATCTTTGAGCCAAATACACGGTTAGGACAATAGAAAAAACTTTGTCATTAAGAGACGATTAGACACTCATACAATTATTTGATAAAAAATTGCTAAAAGAAAATAAAAAATATAACTACATACATATAGGTACCTTACAAGTAGATATAGTAGCCCTAACAAAACAAGGTCTAATACAACAGTATTAGCCTGTGTTCAGGATAATTGACATTTAGATTTTCAAGATTCTTTATTAGGAGTCATAGAAGCTAGTTTACATCGAGGTTCAGTTTACTTTATTTGTTACCCTAATTATATAGTAAGCTTAGGTGATCCCAACCTATTAAAAGGTCTTACTTTAACCGTAAGAACCCAAGGTTTAAAAAGATACCTAGATCCCAAAATATAAGTATACACTTAATCCTAATAATAAACTTATTAATACAAGAGGTTTTATGACTCTATTTGAGTCAAATATTCACAGTAAAACCATAATACCAAAACAAATTAAATGGGAAGAGGTAAGAATCCCTGAAAATTGAAAGCTGCTACCAGGCACCTTACATGGAGGTGATAGACAGCTCCAAAGGGCTGCAATAGATTATATTTAGAGAATTACCAAGAGGAGAGGTGCAACTTACTTTTCATGAGATACCTTGACTAGAAGCACCACCTAGAAACTCACTAAAATTAAAAGATAAAATTTTAGAAGAATCTAGTTCTGATAATAATAATAAAACAGAAGCACCCATAGGAGTTAGTTATCTTGTGTATAGAAATTTTGTTAATGCTATAGTCCTAGATGAAGAAATAAATTCTTTTGAAATAAATAAAAAATTTCTTTGAAAAGACTTCTACTCAGTAGAAAATAGAGATCAAAGAAAATTATTTTTTAAAAATTTTCCTAAAGAAGAAAGAGATAAAATTCAAGAATAATTTTATACTTAAGAAAAAATAAGTGTCATGTATTTTTCTTTAGTTGGTTTAAGAATATGTATTTTGAAGAAATCACATTAAAAGTACAAACTATCCAAAAAATAACTAAAACTTGAAAAGCTATAGAAAATACAATAGAAGCGGTACATTCGCCTATGCAACCTGTAATAATAAATTCATAAACTAACACTTTAGCTATTCCAGTATGTGATACTAACACAAAAATTGAAAGATTAAATGAAATAGTCGAATAATTAAATTTTACAAATGTCTATTTAGAATCCATTGGTTCTCAGACAGAACGCATAGAAATAAATATAAATAATATAAAAGATGAATGTAAAACTATAGAAAAAATAGTTTTTACAGATGGAGGAAAAGAAATATTTAAAAAATTTGCTCCACAAATAAATAGAAATATTAGTTTAATAAAACCCTCTTTTATTACAACCCCATCTATACCTAACTCGGTAAAATTAGAAATTAAACCAGTAAAAATTAAAGATAATGTAGAATTATTAACTAATCAATTATCTAATTTTTCTATAAAGGGCAAAATTTATAACAAACAAATTAATGCTTTGATAGAAATAATCAAGAGATTTCCTGTGACTCTAACTCAGATTCAGATCTGTCTTATAAAGAAGAATACTTCAAAAATGATTCTGATAATGAAAAATATATTAACGTCTATACCAAACCCAACCATGTAACTCAAACTGCTAAAACTAAAAATTATTACAGAAGACCAACACCTTTAGATCTTCAATTTGAAGAAAAGGGTGATATCAACCATCTCTTACTCTGGAGATGCTATAGTTGATTGGAATATTGATGGTTTATCTGAATGCCAAGTAATAGATGTTTTCCAAAATATGACTATGTTTTCTAATGCATGTTTGATTAGATGAAATAAAGACGATTCTATTGTAAAAATGATCATAGTAGGATTTACTGGGCAATTAAAAGGATGGTGGGATAATTACTTAACAGAAGCTGATAGAAATTTTTTACCCACTCATGTAACCTCAAATGATAATGATAAGCCTATAGTAAATGAACAAGGTTTCACTACTCAAGATGCAGTTAGAACATTAATCATAGTAATAGTACCAAATTTTTCTGGTAAATTAGAAGAAATACAAGAAAAATTAGAGACCTATTACATACTCTTAGATGTAGAACTTTATATGAATATAGACAGTGTAAGGATGTATAT